CTCAGAGGGACCCACAGAACCCCATAGGGACCCACAGAACCCCATAGGGACCCCAATGTCTCCATAGCCACCCATAGAAACCCAAAGGGACCCATAGAATCCCATAGGGACTCCAACGTCCCCATAGGAACCCATAGAAACACAGAGGGACCCACAAAACCCCATAAGTACCCCAACGACCCATAGGGACCCATAGAAACTCATAGGGACCCATAGAATCCCATAGGGACCCCAATGTCCCCATAGGGACCCATAGAAACCCATAGGGACCCCAATGTCCCCATAAGGACCCATAAAAACCCATAGGGACCCATAGGGACCCACAGAATCCCATAGGGATCCCAATGTCCCCATAGGGACCTACAGAAACCCATAGGGCTGCAGAGAAATCCATAGAGACCCACAGAACCCTATAGGGGCACAGAGAAACCCCATATGGATCCCACGGACCCCATAGAGCCCACGGACCCCACAGAGCCCCACAGACCCCATAAAGCCCCATGGACCCCATAGAGTCCCATAAAGCACACAGATCCTATAAAAGCCCACGTACCACCATAGGACCCCATAGACCCCATAAAGCCCCACAGACCCCATAGAGCCCACAGACCCCATAGAGCCCCACGGACCCCACAGACCCCATAGAGCCCCCCAGATCCCATAGACCTCCCCAGACCCCATAGAGCCCACAGACCCCATAGAGCCCACAGACCCCATAAAACCCCACAGACCCCATAGAGCCCACGGACCCCACTCACCGCCCTGCACCGCCGCTCCCGTTCCGTTCCCGGATGTCTCCGCTCCGCCCAATCAGCGCTCAGCTTTCAGGCCACGCCCCCTCCCCCTTTCCTCTAGCAACCAATCAGCGCTCTCCCCACTACCCCGCCCCGCCCCCGTTGCTAGTGGGCGGGACTAAAAACCCGGAAGTGTCGCCCGGTCGCTATGGAACAGCGCGGCGCATGCGCAGAACTCAACACTGAGTTTTCAAGGGTTCCGATGGGGTGAAACCGGAAGTGACGTCGGAATGGGGGCAGGGACCGGAAGTAGGACGAATGGACGCATGGATCCCATCTCGGTGTGACACGTGTGTCCCACGTCACGTGACACATGGATCCCATGTCAGCGTGACACACGCGTCCCATGTCACGTGACACATAGATCCCACGTCACGTGACACATGAATCCCATGTCATGTGACACACCTGCCCCATGTCATGTGATGCATGACTCCCATGTCAGTGTGACACATGGATCCCATGTCATGTGACATGTGTGTCCCACGTCACGTGACACATAGATCCCACGTCACGTGACACATGAATCCCATGTCATGTGACACACCTGCCCCATGTCATGTGATGCATGAATCCCATTTCAGTGTGACACATGGATCCCACGTCATGTGACATGTGTGTCCCACGTCACGTGACACATGGATCCCACGTCACGTGACACGTGTTTCCCCATCTCAGCGTGACACGCAGCGACACAGAGCACATGATGACACACGACGACACGTGATGACACGTGATGGCACTGACACGCAGTGACACGCAATGACATGCAACGGTGACACGGAGAACACGATGACACACGACGGCGACATGTGACGACACACAGTGACACGCGCTGACACGCGATAACACGTGATGACACGTGGCGACATGCGATGGTGACATGGAGGACGTGACGACACGCGATGACACGCAATGACACACAATGACATGCCATGGCGACATGGAGGACATGATGACACGCAATGACATGCAGTGACATGCGATGACACGCAATGGTAATCCACTGACACGCAATATCACATGATGACACGCGACGGCACGACACACAATGACACGTGACGACATGCAGTAACGTGATGACACGTGATGGCGACACATTGGACACACGATAACACGTGATAACACGTGATCACATGCAATAACACACGACAACACGCAATAAAACATGATAACACATGACAACACGCAATGGTGACACATTGGACACGCAATAGCATGCAATAACATGCGATAACACACGATAACATGCGATAACACGCGACGACATGCAATAACACGTGATAGCACGTGACGACACGCGGTGGTGACCCGTTGTACACGCGATAACACGCGATAACACACGATGGTGACACGGAAGAGCAGCCACGCGGCCTCCGTCCCTTTATTTGCACCGGCAGTGGGCGGAGCCAACACCGCCCTATGGGGGACCGGAAGGGGCGTGGCCTAAACGAAGCCCCGCCCCCTCCCCGGTGGGCGTGGTCTGGGCGGAGGGGGCGTGGCCATGGCGGCGCTGGTGGCGGCGAAGCCCCGCCTTCATCCCGAAGCTTTTGGGGCAGAGCGGGCAGCGGAAGGGGCCGCTGGTGGCCGCCATATTGGGGCTGGTGGCCGCCATATTGGGGCCGTCCCTAGTAGTGCTGATGGCGGCCATATTGGAGCTGGTGGCCGCCATATTGGGGGTGTTGATGGCCGCCATATTGGGGTTGATGGCCGCCATATTGGGGCTGGTGGTCGCCATATTGGGGCCGTCCTTATTAGCGCTGATGGCGGCCATATTGGGGTTGATGGCCGCCATATTGGGACCATCCCTATTAGTGCTGATGGCGGCCATATTGGGGTTGATGGTCGCCATATTGGGGCCGTCCTTATTAGTGCTGATGGCGGCCATATTGGGGTTGATGGCCGCCATATTGGAGCTGGTGGCCGCCATATTGGAGCTGGTGTCTGCCATATTGGAGCTGTTGGCCACCATATTGGAGGTGTTGATGGCCACCATATTGGGGTTGATGGCCGCCATATTGGAGCTGGTGGCCGCCATATTGGGACCATCCCTATTAGTGCTGATGGCGGCCATATTGGGGTTGATGGTCGCCATATTGGGGCCGTCCTTATTAGTGCTGATGGTGGCCATATTGGGGTTGATGGTCGCCATATTGGGGCTGGTGGCCGCCATATTGGGACCATCCCTATTGGTGCTGATGGCGGCCATATTGGGGTTGATGGTCGCCATATTGGAGCTGGTGGCCACCATATTGGAGCTGGTGGCCACCATATTGGAGGTGTTGATGGCCGCCATATTGGGGTTGGTGGCCGCCATATTGGGGCCGTCCCTATTAGTGCTGATGGCGGCCATATTGGGGTTCATGATGCCCCTATTGGGGCTATTGGCCGCCATATTGAGGCTGATGGCGGCCATATTGGGACCGTCCCTATTGGGGCCAATGGTGTCCTTATTGGGGCTGATGGCAGCCATACTGGGGCTGGGTTGGCCACTGGCAGCCATATTGTGTTCAAGCTGCCCAATGGTGGCCATGTTAGTTCCAGACTGGCCACCGGCAGCCATACTGGGGCCTCCGATGTCGTGACCAGCTTTGGTGGCCATATTAGGTCCAGATTGGCCATTGGTGGCCATATTAGGTCCGGGTTGGCCACTGGCAGCCATATTGTGTCCGAGCTGTCCAATGGCGGCCATATTAGGTCCAGGTTGACCACTGGCAGCCACATTGGCGCCTCCAATGTCATGACCAACATTGGTGGCCATATTAAGTCCAGGTTGGCCACTGGCGGCCATACTGCGTCCAAGCTGTCCAATGGCGGCCATATTAGGTCCAGATTGGCCACTGGCGGCCATATTAGGTCTAGGTTGGCCACTGGCGGCCATATTGGCGCCTCCAATGTCATGACCAATGTTGGTGGCCATATTGGCGCCTCCAATGTCATGACCAACGTTGGCGGCCATATTAGATCCAGGTTGACCACTGGCAGACTTATTAGGTCCAGGTTGGCCACTGACAGCCATATTGGCGCCTCCAATGTCATGACCAACGTTGGCGGCCATATTAGGTCTAGGTTGGCCACTGGCGGCCATATTGGTGCCTCCAATGTCATGACCCACGTTGGCGGCCATATTGGCGCCTCCAATGTCATGACCAACATTGGCGGCCATATTAGGTCCAGGTTGGCCACTGACAGCCATATTGGCGCCTCCAATGTCATGACCCATGTTGACGGCCATATTAGGTCCAGGTTGGCCACTGGCAGCCATATTGGCGCCTCCAACGTCATGACCCACGTTGGCGGCCATATTAGGTCCAGGTTGGCCGCTGGCGGCCATATTGGCACCTCCAACGTCATGACCCACGCTGGCGGCCATATTGGCCCCAGGTTGACCACCGCTGACCCCACCGCCGCCGACTTGCCCCCCGTCGCCCGTTCCGCGCCCAAGAGGACCCCCCCCAGCACCACCCCCCACGTCGTCCGCCATCTTGCCCCCTTCCTCCCCCTTCCCGTGCGTCCTCTCGTGCTTCCTGAGCCCGGATGCTCCCCCGAATCCCTTCCCACACCTCCCGCAGCTGTAGGGCCGTTCTCCCGAATGCGTCCTCCAATGCTTCCCCAACGCCGCCCTCTCCCCGAATCCCTTCCCGCATTCCCCGCATCTCCAAGGCCTCTCCCCGCTGTGACTCAAGCGGTGCCTTTTCAGATCCCACGAGGCTTTGTAAGCTTTGCCGCACTCCCCGCACCTCCAAGGCCTTTCCCCGGTGTGACTCCGGCGATGCAGAGCCAAATCGGCCGGCTGCCTGAAAGCTTTGCCGCATTCGCTGCATCCGTACGGCTTGACCCCTTGATGGGCTCGCTGGTGCCGCCGGTAGCTGGAAGGATCCGAAAACATCCTCCCGCATTGGGGGCATAAAAAAGGTCTTTCGCCGGTGTGGACGCGTTGGTGGCTTTGGTAAGAGGAGAGTTGGGTGAAGGCTTTGCCGCAGACGCCGCAGCCGTAGGGTTTGCGGTGAGCGTGGATGCGCTGGTGGCAAGCCAAGGAGGACGAGCGGCCGAAGCTTTTGCCGCATTCGGAACAGAGGTACGGCCTCTCCCCGGTATGGGAACGTTGGTGGTTGTGGAGGTCTTTCCTTTCCACGTAAGCTTTGGGACAGGCGGCGCAACGGTGAGGGCGATGGCCGGCGTGGGCACGGCAATGTTTGCGATAGACGGACGGATCGGCGAAAGATTTGGGACAATCGGGGCAGGAAAAAGGACGTTCGCCGGTATGGGAACGTTGGTGGATGGCCAGTTTGGAGAGGGTGGTGTAGGATTTGGGGCAGGAAGGGCAGGGGAACGGTGGGGAGGGGCGGGGGGAGGCGGTGGAGGGTGGGGGG